TAATTGTGCTGTCCTGTTTCCCAGGTACAGAAGAATGTGCTTCGATAACCAGTAAGATCACAATCAATGGGATATTCAATCAATAAGGCAGGCATTCAATCGAATGGGATGATTTATACAATTCAGAAAATCAAAATAACCTGTCCATTGTTAAACAAAGCAAATAGGTACCATACTTCAACTGACCCTGTACCTAGATATGTGCCTGAATGGGAGTCCAACCAGAGACCTTTCTTTGCAGGGGAGAACGCTCCAACCACTGAGCAACACCAGCCAAGGCTGTCACTACTGTCTTTATAAGAAAAGGGCTGAACTGAAAATCAATGACTTTAATGACTTTTCTTGGAGCCATCAGAGAAATTAGGTTGCAGGGAAAACTGTCACCTCAGAAACTGGAGAGACAGAACACAGAGAATCAGATTAGATCACCTACCTTATCTGGAACAACCACTGCTGGAGCCATAAACTAGTAGGACAACAAAAATGTTAACTTTGTAAATTGCTAGGCTGTGTGCTAAGATCTCCTAGAGCAGCGGTTCTCAACCTGTGGGTCACGACCCCTTTGGGGGTCGAACGACCCTTTCACAGGGTCGCCTAAGACCATTGGAAAACACATATATAATTACATATTGTTTTTGTTTCTATGATTAATCACTATGCTTTAATTATGTTCAATTTGTAACAATGAAAATACATCCTGCATATCAGATATTTACATGACGATTCATAACAGTAGCAAACTTACAGTGATGAAGTAGCAACGAAAATAATTTTATGGTTGGGTCACAACATGAGGAACTGTATGAAAGGGTCGCGGCATTAGGAAGGTTGAGAACCACTGCCCTAGAGGCAATAGCCTTAACTTCCAGGCATCGCCCTAGGTGTTCTTTATAAAGAGCCAAGAAGAAAAAAAAACCCACTTTTGCTTCTGGCAAGGGGAGGGGAAAAGTAACTCTTCTGAAATGTGCCCAGTGTTCTCCATAACAAAGGCCTATACAGCAGGGGGAAAATACTTTACCAGGAGCCTTATCTGACTTGGGGGAAGGGAAATTACCCACATCCAGCCCAAGTCTAATTTTCCTTGCTTACCTAAGAGGGAAAAAAATGCTGAGAAACAATGTGTGACAGTCACAGGCAGGGACACAGGCCCACTGAAAGACAGATCTCACCATAGGATTATAGAACTTTTCCCCGATCCCTTACCACACCAACAGGGCTACAGTGTGATAACAGTGAATCACAGCTAAAAGAGAAGCAAGATGCAGACTCTATTTAAGGAGCTTTTAGGGAATCATAAAGACAGGAGAGACAAAAAGGACACTAGAGGGAATAAAAGCATCTGACACCTACAGCTACAGCAAACATGAAACACAGAACAACTCCTGGCCAGATTAACATAAAACCATCACTGAACACCTACTTATCTCAGTTCCTTTACCTGATACATGATGTCTGGCTTTCAACAAAAATTTACAAGACATACTAAGCTTAAAAAAAAAAAAAGTCTGAAGAGGCAAAGCAAGCATCAAAATCAGATTCAGATATGGCACAGATTTGGAATTTAAAGTAACTATGATTACTGGTAAAGGTTCTAATGGAAAAGTAGATAACATGCAGATGGGTAATGTAAGCAGAGACGAAAACACTAAGAAAGAATAAATAAGAAATGTGAGGAATAAAAAACAAACATTGTAACAGAAATGAAGACTGCCTTTGTTGGGATCATCAATAAACTGGACACAATCAAAAAAAGAATCAGTGATTTGGAGATTGAAAAATCAGACAGAGGCCGTAAACCATGACTACAGGCTTTATTAGAGGAGAAGCACCTGCCGGGCTGTCTCGCAAGGGGAGGACAGCAGCACTTGCAGGGGTGGGCACGCCTTTTGAGGGGCAGAATGGGAAGGGGTGGGGGGCTTAGTGTACTGGGCGCACACTGATTGGTGGCTTACTGCATTGTCCATATAGGACAAGGGCTTAGGGTATTTGGCAGGTGGTGGTCCAATGTATAGTCCATATAAGGTACCTGGTTAAGGCACTCAGGTATTTCCGGGCTGCAGGTTACGTCATACTCCGCCCACCAGTTGGGGGAAGGGAGGATCTATCAGAGATGTCAATAGAAACTTCTCAAACTAAAACGCAAAGAAAAATAATAATAAAGGACAAGGCAATAAAACCCAAAATAGAATATTTAAGAATTGTGGAACAATTTCAAAAGATGTAACATATATATCATTAGGATACCAGAAGAAGACAGAACAGAGCAGTTAGAAAGGTAATGTACCATATAAACATATTTTTATTGATTTCAGAGAGGAAGGAAGAGGGAGAGATAAACACCGATGATGACACAGAATCATAGATTGGTTGCCTCCTGCACGCCCCCCCACTGGGGACCAACCCCTGCAACCCGGGCATATACCCTTACCCAGAATTGAACCCGGACCCTTCAGTCTGCAGGTCAATGCTCTATCTATCCACTGATCCAAACCAGCTAAGGCAGCGATGTACCATATTTTAAATCCCTTTTTAATTTCTGAAGTGTGATAGATGTCATTAAAATACGACTGAAAAACAGTCCTCAATCTCATTTCCACTGCCAAATTTGGGACAAATGTCATTCACACACCCATTCTGTGATATTCCTGATTAAGAGTTACTTTTCATCATCCCTTTCTTTTCCACTCCAGAAAGCAGAGTGGAAGGCAAGTGAATGACCTTGAATCCAGTCAAATATACAACCTGATATTCTGTACTATTTTCATGATACCACACACACGACCATAACACAGCTTTGTGTCCGCACCATTTCTGAGGATCCTTTATTAGTTCCTTGTCTTCAGTCAGAGCCAAGATTCTCATTTGCACTCAATTTTAGATATTATTAATACAACCAGTAGAAAGGAGTTTTTAAAAATATTTATTATATTTGGTTCTAGAAATTATAGAAAATAAAAACTGGTACAATCATGTCACAGATCCTTAGAAAGCATATTTATCTTTTCACACCAGACAAGAGTTTTATGCAATGCCAGAAATGGAAATACCTAGGCAGTCAGTGACAAAGGTTAATGCTGCTAAGAGGAGCCCTTGTGAATTTTTAAAGTTTTCTTTTCTGCTATCATTTATTTTTGGGCAAATACTAGTCCAGCGGAAAGAGTTCTGAACATAAAAGGCACCTAGAGTAAAATTTAGTCCTTGACTAATAAAAATAGGTACACATGTTTACATTAAGAAAAAAGGCCCTATGAATGCAACTCTTCTGCAAGACAGTGATAATATAAATGCAAAAGCCATTGTAACTAAAAACTCTATAAACAATGACCTGAACCTGTACTTAAGCTAGATAATGGCAATTACTTTTGTGTTCATAAATCCACAGATGTTTCATTTAAATAAGCATGAGTACTATGCTTATATTCATAGGTCAGGGGGTGCTATAATTATTTACCCATCAAGATTTGTTTTGTTGCATTTTCTCTTAAAAATGCATTATTGTGAACTCATTTCATAGATGTTAAAAATTCCTGTTGTCCAAGAATGAAGCAAAACCTGCCCTGGCCGGTGTGGCTCAGTTGTTTGGAGTGTTGTCCAGTGCACCAAAAGGTCATGGATTCGATTTCCGGTCTGGGCACATACCCGGGTTTTGGGTTTGATCCCTGGTCGAGGTGAACATGGGAAGGCACCCAATTGATGTTTCTCTCTCTCTCTCACATTGATGTTTTTCTCTCTGTCTTCCTTCCACTCTCGCTATAAAATCATTAAAATATATTCTTTGGGTGATGATTAAAAAAAAAAAAAAAGTAGCAAAAGCTAAAACTGCCACTTTAAACTAAAGTCCTTTTTCATTGTTATAAAGCCAGTAAAGCTGACATTTTACTATGACTTAAGCACCTGAAATACACTGTAACCAATTTATATTCTCTAAAGCTAGAATTAGGATCCTCAGGATTTGTATAGGTGTATAAATATTGCAAATTAAGCTAATAAAAACTTGAAAAAATACAAACAATCTTTTACTACAAAGATCCAAAATCCATATAGGTCTGTACTAAGAGAAAGATGAACAGGAGGCCAGCAAACACTTGTCTGCATTTTCTAATCTGGGGACAAAGGGCTCAGCGGAGCCAGGTGGTATTCAGCTGGGTCTGGTTCTTGATGCTGGTATCCATTTTTAGCACTTCGCGAATGGCCATGGTAGCGTAGGTAGAAGGAGGAAGAGAAAAATCCATCTTCAGAGCTCTGTATTTGCCTTCTGCCAGGCAAGAAAGAAGAGAACAGTCAGAAACGTAAGGCAGTTGCAGACTGACTGGGGCAAGTCATATAATCTCTACACAAATAAAAGTATTGTGCTCTTTTCCCCCAGGCTTTTCATTCCCAGGGGGCGCAGAGAATGAGCCTCAGAAGTAAAAGATCTGTGAGTGTCTGACCCAGCTGACTCTCTCTGTGAATTCTACCTGGAACTGTCATAAAAAGGGCAGATGACAGAATAGCACAGGAGAGAAATGCATGTAAAAATTAAAATAAAAAACAACAATTAGAGCACAGGGTGAAGACAGACAAAGCAATGACAACCAGAATCTGACAATGACAATGTAAATTTAATGTTTTATTAATTCTTCCTGGATTTCCGCTCACCTTTGCTAACTCTCTATGGAGGTGAAGGAGATATTTAATCACCTAAAACAAAAACCTTCTATAACTGTCATTCATTTTCAGTGGGATTTACTGTTTTAATCACTGACTTCCAGCTATAATCATGAAACTGAGATGACAAAACACAAAACAGAAATTACAGAGTGGATGGGAAGTGGTGGGATTATAAGAGCTTTTTTTTTTTGTTTGTTTTTGTATGAGAAATAGAGGATGTCCCCCCAAAATGTAAAGCACTTTAACAGTTAATAGCTCAATTTTGAAAATGAAATGTATTTTCAATTATAATCACGCCTTTATCATTATTCAAACTGTGTATACATTTTCTGGGGACAACCTATATTTCAAAGTTGATACAGACCTGGTGGTTAAGTAAACTTACCAGAAGCAAAAACTGGTGGTGGTTTCCCTTCTAGATTGTCCACATCTGTGTTGAAGAGTGGAATTTTAGGGTCATCATATGCAACAACTTCCCTTTAAAGCATATAAATAAAAAAAGGATAAACGTGAACTTCCATAAAAGGTACCAAGTCATTCATCACCATTTGTTTAGTAAGGAAAACACAGGTCTATTATAGACAATAGTGGAACTATTTAATAACAGAACAGGACCAGATTTTATGCATAAATACTGCTTTTATATTATTATATAGCAAGGTGACAGATGATGCCAGCCTATGGAAAAGAAAATGTTTCCCCAGGATGAAAAATCTTTAATAGGGAAAAAGTCCAGTCTCTTCACATTTGTTCAATAATTTATTGTCAACAAAATATAAATTAAGCCACTTGCACTGTATGTTTGCCTTCATTTATTTCTTGATGATTTGAAAATTACCAAAAGTAGCAGTAATAATATTAGTAATGACAACAACTAACACTTATGTGCCAGGTTTTAAGCACTGAAAAGTATATATGTGGTGTGAAAGCTTAAAATCTCACACAGTAATTCAGTTCTATTTCATTCTGGACTATTACTCACCAGCTGACGTTCTGAGGGCGAATAATGATCTTTCGGTAGGCCCCTGATAAGGAATAATCTCGAATTTTGTGTCTCATGTTGTCGATATCAAGATTATCTGCTGTGAGCATTTCCCTGTAGGAGTCACTAACTAACATAAAATACAACAAGTTAGTTGGAATGTACCATGTCAGCAAGCTACCTTGAACTAGACTACAGAGTAACATGTAAATTCAGTTGGTTAACCCTAACACAATTAGTCACGCTAATTTATGATCCAGTCTATTCTCTGGAATCAAAACTTAGTGACTAACTAGGACCAGGTCTCTCCAGCTTAGGTTTGAACCTACTTATAAATTACCTTTGCAAACAGCTTCAGTATCTGGGGAGTAAGGTTCCCAAGCTAGTTACAAAAGGCCATTTCATCAGAAGTTACTAAACTACAATTTATACATGCTCAGGGATGGAAGAGAAGATATACAGAAACCTCAAACTCTTCTGGCAGAAGGTAGTTATAAATACATGTATAAAAATAAGAGACCTGGGAAACCATCTGGCTCACCCGGGCACCTGATGTAGCACCTTTCTCCTAACACCGGAGAGAGCTGCCACAGCCCTCCAGTGGGTGCTAGCCCGTTGCCATGTGAGGTACGCAATTATTAAGAAGTCTTCCTGTTTCAAGCTGAAATCTGTCTTCTCGTAATTTCTGTTGACTGCACTGAAATAAGCAGACTAACGGTCCACTTCCACCTGTATTCATGAGTATTGGACCTTTAAGCCATAACTTCTCTAGGCCAAACATTGGTTCCCCCAACGGTCCCTCCTTTGACATTGTTGCATTCCGCACCAAATCCCTTTATCTGCCTCTGGGGTAACAAGCTTAAGTTCAACAGAAACTCCAGACACCTTTTTTAAATTTGATTTTATTGGGGTGACATTGGTTTACAAAACCATACAGGTTTCAAGTGTACAACTCAATAAAACATCACCGCACACTGTATCATGAACCCACTGCCCCAAGCAGTCCTTCTCAGTCCCCATTTTCCCTTCCTTTGCACCCCCACCTCCCAATCCAGCCCGTTCCCTCTGGATGCCACCACACTGTTGTCTGTGTCTATGTGTTATATACATATATGTATGTGTTTTTTTCTTAATCCCTTAATTTTCTCTCATCCAGTCCAACTCCAGATACTTTTTATATAGACTACTATCAAACTGAGCCTTTTCTATCTATATATTTGATCTTGGAGCATAAATGTGAAAATTTATATTTAACCCTATTAAATGACCCCTGCAGTTCTTTTTAAATGCTTATTTACATATAATTAATATTAACTATTTTGGGTTACACTACTTGCAATTATGACAAGCAGATATCCTTATTCAAGTTATTTATAAAAAATGTTAGGATCAGGAAAGACTCGCTGAGGACACACTTATCAGGACAACTCAGCTTTGCTGGACACCAAGTGTAGTTGGCAGTTAGGCGTGACCAGGGCAAGGATGATGGGCCAGGTATGCAGGGTGGAAAGCACTGTGTGCCTAGCAAGGAACAATAGGGTGGGACCTCGCCCCCAGGATGACCTTTCCTCCCCTAGCATATCCCTGGTTATGGGATAGACCCCCTCCGAGGAATAAAGGAATGGAGAAGAGCCTCAAATGACTCCCATACAAGCCCTTTCACAACCACTCCCTTAAGCATTAAGCCAGCGGTTCTCAACCTGTGGGTTGAACGACCCTTTCACAGGGGTCGCCTAAATACATCCTGCATATCAGATATTTACATTACAATTCATAACAATAGCAAAATTACAGTTATGAAGTAGCAACGAAAATAATTTTATGGTTGGGGGTCACCACAACATGAGGAACTGTATTAAAGGGTCGCAGCATTAGGAAGGTTGAGAACCACTGCATTAAGCCCTCAGGACAATGAGGGGCACAGCAACTCTATTAAGTTAATTAACATGTAAGTGGCAGATTACCATTTAACTGTTTTATAAGTATTTGCATTATCAAAGAAGGATGTTAATCCTAATCATTTCACTATCAGTAAAATTTCAAAGACTATAACAATGATAATTAAAATAATTCTGGCCTCTTGAGAGATGTCTTAACAGGAAAACACCTCCCACAACCCAGGCTTGGCTAGGGTTACTAGTAAACTTCCAGGTTCAGTTCCACCACGTTGGTCCCGTGCTCGGAGCTGCTTTCTTTTCAATTTCTGAATCCTTGAACAATAAAAGTTCTAATCTTCGCTCACTCACCCCCACCAATGGCATCCATGAAGGTAACAAAAGTAATTCTTGTCCTAACTGGTTTGGCTCAATGGATAGAGCGTCGGCCTGTGGACTCAAAGGTCCCAGGTTCGGTTCCAGTCAAGGGCATGTACCTTAGTTGCGGGCACATACCCAGTAGGGAGTGTGCAGGAGGCAGCCGATCAATGTTTCTCTCTCATCGATGTTTCTAACTCTCTATCCCTCTCCCTTCCTCTCTGTAAAAAAAATCAATAAAATATGTTTAAATAAATTCAAATTCTTTATAAAAAAAAAAGTAATTCTTTTTTGTTTGTTTGTTTGTTTATTTCAGAGAGGAAGGGAGAGGGAGAGATAGAAACATCAATGATGAGAGAATCAATTAAATCTTTTTTGTTCAGGTTACATTTGTTCCTCTTTTTTTCCCCCCCCTGACTCCCCTCCTCCCAGTTCCCGCCCCACCCTCCGCCCTCACTCCCCACCCACTGTCCTCATCCATAGGTGCACGATTTTTGTCCAGTTTCTTCCCGCATCTCCCATTCCCCTTTCCCCCCCAAGAATAGTCAGTCCATTCCCTTTCTATGTCCCTGATTCATTATAATCACCAGTTCATTCTGTACATCAGATTATTTATTCACTTGGTTCTTAGATTCACTTGTTGATAGATGCATGTTTGTTGTTCACAATTTGTATCTTTACCTTTTTCTTCTTCCTCTTCTTAAAGGATACCTTTCAGCATTTCGTATAATACTGGTTTAGTGGTGATGAACTCCTTTAGCTTTTCCTTATCTGTGAAGCTCTTTATCTGACCTTCAATTCTGAATGATAGCTTTGCTGGATAAAGTAATCTTGGTTGTAGGTTCTTGGTATTCATCACTTTGAATATTTCTTGCCATTCCCTTCTGGCCTGCCAAGTTTCTGTTGAGAAATCAGCTGACAGTCGTATGGGTATTCCCTTGTAGGTAATTGAGTCTCTTTCTCTTGCTGCTTTTAAGATTCTCTCTTTGTCTTTTGCTCTTGGCATTTTAATTATGATGTGTCTTGGTGTGGTCCTCTTTGGATTCCTTTTGTTTGGGGTTCTCTGCGCTTCTTGGACCTGTAAGTCCATTTCTTTCACCAGGTGGGGGAAGTTTTCTGCCATTATTTCTTCAAATAGGTTTTCAATATCTTGCTGTCTCTCATCTTCTGGCACCCCTATTATTCTGATGTTGGTACGCTTGAAGCTGTCCCAGAGGCTCCTTACACTATCTTCGTATTTTCGGATTCTTTTTTCATTTTGCTTTTCCGGTTGGGTGTTTTTTGCTTCTTCGCATTTCAAATCTTTGGCTTGATTCTTGCGCTCCTCTGGTCTGCTATTGGGTGTAATATTCTTTATTTCCGACCGTGTATGCTTAATTTCTAGTTGTTTCTTTATCATAGCATCGAGGGTCTCATTAGTTTTCGTGAGGCTCTCCAGAAGTTTATTGCAAGCCCTCAAAATTGCGTTTTTTAGCTCTATATCCTCCATTTCTGTCATGTTTTTTTGTCTCCGCATTTTTTATGCTTTCTTGGTGCACCCCCTAGTGGTCTTTGTGCGCAGTCTTGTTCTAGTTGAGCCTTGATTGTTGTAGTTAATACTAGAGGGATTTGACCACCAGGCCGACTGGCTGTGTGAATCAGCTGTGTCTGCTGCAGTGGGAAAACTTCTGTCCTCTGGGGGGGCGCTAATCTAGCCTTTGCCTGCGGCGATCCGGCAAATGGCTCTGCGCAGGGCTTGGGCGGGGCGGGCTCAACAGGGCGGGCGGAGGGAGCCGTTATGGTGCCCTCAGTCCTGTTCCCAGAGGCTCTGCTTCTCAGAACCCCCGGAACCGCTGCAAACCTCGGAGGGAAAGCTGCCTTCCAACTGATGCCAGACACTCCCGCTTCTCCCGTTTGGGTCCGAGTCCCCAGCGATTCGCCCGTATCTGGAGCTCAGAGTCTGAGACTCCCCCCTGACCGAAAACGACAACCGCGCTCTCAGCCACCAGCCCGCTTTGCGCGCGCACCTCCGCACCTGAGTTTTTTCCACACTGCGCCTCCTCTGAGCCTCGGTGTGCTGTTATTTTTCCTTCTAGTTGAAGAGTCTCTCCTCAGCCAGCCTTCCTGTGGTTCTGGGTGATGTCCGTTCCGTCTTTTAGTTGTATTTTTGAAGTGGTTGTTTGCGGCAGCAGTCTCCGGTGTTTACCTATGCCGCCATCTTGGTCTCTCCGATGAGAGAATCATTGATCGGGATCCGCCCACAACCCGGGCTGTGCCCTAACCAGGAATCGAACCGGAGAGCCTTCAGTCCGCAGGCTTATGCTCTATCCATTGAGCCAAACTGGGTAGGGCACAAAAGTAATTCTTAACAGGCTCTGTGAAATGGGAAGTAATTCTAACTTTTTCACTTTATAAACTTCTGTGCTTATTGACTTTTAAAACACAATGAGCTGAAAAGTAAAGTTAAAGTAGAATTATCCATTCACTTTCTCAAGGATTCTTTCTAAAAACTTTCCATCCTTAGTAAGAACTAATGAATTTCAGAAACTTAAATAATAATGCCAATAATACTAATAACAACAATACAAATACCAAATACCACCATCACCTTGCTTCTTAATTTAAATAATCTGCATGCATCCCTTTCTGGGAGACTTCTACAAGTGAACATAGTTTATATATATTTAAAGTCTAAACATGATGGATAACAAAGTTCTATATTATATTTAAAATAACTGATTTTCCCCCCCCTCTTTCTCTACTCTTGGCTGCCAGTGGCTTGTGTTAGACTTTGTTTGAACTATTTCCCCACACAGAGAACTTACTTTTATGCTTTGGGTAGATAACATCAAAACCAGGCAAGGGCATTACCACATCATGGATGGAGTAATTATTAACATCTTCTTCCTCGATGTAGGTGGCTGTGGCTACAAATGCACAAATACGTAAATTAAGAAAATAGGCAATATTTTCATGAGCTCAGTCTTCTAAAATTATACACATCTGAGCAGCCAGAAGTGCAAGGTGGTACAGTTTTGTGGCCTACAAAGCTTAAAGAAGTTAGAGTTGGAATATATACCTTTCACTTTTTCTACTCTACCCAAGAAATAAAAATCACAGACTTGGAAAAAGTCCTAAGTTAAAACTTTTATTTCTCAGCTGCACTTTCATTGTTTGGGAATGCTTGCTTTTAACAATCAGCTCCTTTTTCATTATTAAACAATGCTACAAAATACTATTTGGAAAGCTATCACAAATTAATGCATTTTGCTAAAAGAATGAACAGTAAAAAACCAAAACAGTCGGTAGTTAGAGGATAAAATATGGTGGCCCACAGGACACTAAAACACACCTGATATAGCCCCTGGCCGGCGTGGCTCAGTTGGTTGGGCAATGTCCTGTGCACCGAAAGGTTGCTGGTTGGATAACTGGTTGGGGCACATGCCTGGTTTTCGGGCTCGATCCCTAGTAGGGGGCCTACAGGAGGCAGCCAATTAACGTTTCTTTTTCATATCAGTGTTTCTCTCTCTCTCTCTCTCTCTCCCTTCCTCTCTAAAACCAACAAAACATATATTTTTTAAAAGTTTTAAAAAAATATACTGATATGATCAATATTGGGAGGAAAAATATTTTAAAAATTTAAAACAAAATTCACATTTTTTTTACATCGAAATAAACTATGCACATCTTACTTTCTTCACCAAAAATAACAGCAATGTTTTCTGTCTTATTCCTAGGAAACCACAAAACACATGTTTGTAGGTTTTCCTGGTTTTGCTAATACATCAAGAAGAGGCAGTAGATACAGTCATGGAAAAAGACAGAATAAAGCAGACAAATCAGTTGTCAGTATCCATGGCCTCTGATCCTGTCTTGACCATGAAAGAGAAGTGTTCGACATATACCTGCTAAAAAGCTTACAAAGATATAGGCTCAATAAAGGAATGTAAACAGCAACAACAGATGTGAAACAATGGCAGGGTCTTCCATTCAGTCTTTAACTGTAACTAGTTCCTTTAAGACCATTGAATAAAGATAAAAATCTAGCCCTAGCCAGTTTGGCTCAGTGGATAGAGCATCGGCCTGCAAACTGAAGAGTCCCAGGTTCGATTCAAGTCAAGGGCAGGTGCCCAGGTTGCGGGCTCGGTCTCCAGTGGGGGGCGTGCAGGAGGCGGCCAATCAATGATTCTCTCTCATCATTGATGTTTCTCTCTCTCCCTTCCTCTCTGAAATCAATAAAAATGTATTTTTTAAGAAAAGATAAAAATCTACACTGAGCCCTGACTGGTTTGGCTCAGTGGATAGAGTGTTGGCCTGCGGACTGGAGGGTCCCAGGTTTGATTCCGGTCAAGGGCATGTACCTGGGTTGCGGGCACATCCCCAGTGGGG